AATATAAAATTATTTTTAATTATTGATAATTTATTTTAAAATATTAAAATTTAATTATAAATAAATATGATAAATAAAAAATTAAATTAGATAAAAAAATTTAAAAATCCATAAAAACATTCCCTTCAAGATAATTCTTAAAAACACTCTCACATAAAATAAATATTGGATGGATTAATTCTAGAGTTAATCATTTATACACTGTTAGTGTAAAGTTTTTTTTGCACTGGCAACCAATTATATTTTTTAGTTGTGTCATGTCACTATTAAAAGTAAATGTATTTATAGTGACATGATATAATTAAAAGATGTAATTGGTTACCAGTGTAAAAAAAACTTTGCACTGACAATGTATAAGTGATTAACTCTTAATTCTAATCCCTTCCGTACGTGTTTATAAAAAGTCAAGTTTAATTCTCCTTCTTGATGCTTTTAATCCTGGTAGGTTTTTCGGTCTACTCAATGAATTGCTCATATGATCAACTGAAAAATATAATTATACAAAATGGAAGATAGGTTGTGAGATGCTGACTGAGCTTGTCAACCAAAAGGATATTGAAAGATAACAAGTTCACTCCTATCAAAGATATTGTCTTCAGAATTGAATCATGGAAATGCCTCTGAGTTCAATGAGAATGGACAGCAACATCTTTTCATTTTATGCTTTCAGATTGATATGAAAGAAATGGAAAATGATGCTTTGTGGATGTATGTATTAATGGTTTTATGAATTGTGAGGAATCTAAATAGGAAAATCAACTAAGGCGTTTCTATTTATTGTATTGGAATATCTAAAATGAAATTGCTGCCACCTGCCAAAATTTTAAGAGCATTGTTTGCAAGGAAAGAATTTGCTTCCATTCATGAAAACTATTATATTTGGTCAAGAAGTAACAAAAATGGTTATGTGCAATCAGATGAAATAATAAAATGAGAGATGAGAGCTAGCGGTTTTAATATTAATGTTAATATAAATTGCGATATGTAACAGTCACAATATTGTTATTACAGTACTCGCTCTTTGTAATCTCAATGAACCACAATGATCATGGTGTAACTCTAAATTATCAGAAATTTTATAATGCAAATCCATAATCATAACATAATCACAATAGATCTTCAAATCATTTTATTCTAATTTCTTTGTCCAAAAACGCACATATATTAAGTTTTAATCTTTTTGGTCACATAAGGTGTTAAAAAATAAGATGTTAAGAAAGGGGGAATTTTATTCTAATTTCTTTGTACAAAAACACACATATATTAAGTTTTAATTTTTTCGTCACATATGTTAAGAAAGGGAGTGACAACTTAAAATGATTTATTAGTGTTAAAAGAGATGCATAATACATTTTGAAAAAAGAAAAAAAAAAAGAAGTTTAAAATAAAAAATTAAAAAAAAAAATTGATTGATTTTTATTATTATGAAACTATTTATTTATTACAAATATATAATAACAACAACCACATTTAGAACCATTATATATAGAAAAATTCTATCCTCCGAAATATATTCCGAACGTTAGAGAAAAAGTTTTAACTATAAAATATTAAATTAAATAATTATTTTATATTAAATTTATTTTTAAAATATTAATATTTTAAGATTTGGACGCTGTTTCGGTTCATTTTTCGGAGTGTGTGACATTTCTCTTATATATAATAAAAAAAAAACCACATTTTGATTGATTGATTAATAGTTAAAACCCTCGAAAATTGACAATATATATAATCATTTAAACTACATTTTGATTGATTAATAGTTGAAACCCTAAAAAATTGGCAAGATAATCATTTAAACTGCACTTAGAAGGTCCTCTTTCAAAGACCCTTTTACAAATTGACAAGAAAATCATTTAAACTGCACTGTAAGGTCCTCTTTCAAAGACCCTTTTACAAAAAGTGGGCGTTTTCCACTTGTGGTAATAAACACACGGTATAAGAGGATCACATTTACTCCACATAATAGTCAATGTGTGCTTTGATCAAGAAACAGACACTCAAGCCATTTTTTGCACCTTTTGTCAACTGTGTTGTGCTGATAATATGCTTCGCATAGGATGCGTGTCTCTCTCTAAATATGGAAACTTCTTTTGTCTCTTGCCTAGACCTGGTGTCAGTCAAGTAACTTCGATGAATTAGGAGTATTCTCTGTTGTTTTATCTCCCTCTAATATCTAATATCATAATAGAGAATAAATAAGATAAAATAGAACTACAAATTGCTTGGTAGTGTCCCATGAGAATCTATATTTTATTAGTCTTATTCTTTAAATTAACTTTGTTGACAGAGTCAGCTTTATATGGGCAGAAAGAAAACTTGTGTGTTTAACAAAATCAGAATACGAAAACTATGAACCAGTAGATGATTCATTCTCTACTTCTGCATGGTCCCATGTCAGCATGTAAAGAGAATTCAGAATATGAATAGAGGAATGCATTGCTTCGACGAGCTAGCTATGGCATGCTACACATCTGTGGCTATGACATTCTACATTATGTTTTTCTCTTAATAAAATGATCACTCTAAAGAATAATTTGTTTAACAGGATATGGTTCTATACCACCTAAATAACCTGCTACTCTCATGTTGGAGAATTATCCTTCTTGAGATAGTTTTTTTTTTTTTTTGTCCAAGTGTTGGGATAAAGTTGTAAATTTTTTTTAAGTAATCGGAATATTCTCAATGAATCGTTAGACAAATCGAAGAGCAGTTATGAGTAGTTCAAAGAAGTTATCCACATCTGCGTGAATAACGGGACGGTTATAGATCACAAGGGATTAATGGGTAATAGCTACTCCTCAAAAATTAAAGCCAAGGATCCCGAAGAGGTTATTCGACGAAAGCGTAACATGCAGTTGTGAGAAGTTAAGAACGGTTGAGAGGGATCACCCATGTCAAACCAACACAAAAGTAACCGCTCTTTCCTATACTCTATAAATAAACAAGGCAAGCTCATTCGGAAGGGTCAGAAACTTGATACTTACGTGCTCCTTTGCATCCAATTAATGCCTGCATCCATGGCTTCCATGCACAAGATGACTGAGTATGATTTCTAGGTCAACTTTTTTTTTCGTAACTTAGTTTCTTGTTCTTGTTTAAACATAGTTAGGATAATTTTTAATCTTGGTTTAGTATAACGTAGTTTTGTAGATCCTTTGTTTCTCATAATCACTATGTGTACTCCAGCAATTATTTAAAACAAGTTATGATTTCTGTTATCAATATATATGTTTTCCATTTGATTCATTTAAACATCTATATGCATGAATCCCGCTTTATGATAATCGTCAAGGAAAACCTAGAAATCTTTGTATGCTAAACTGTACAAAATTGGACCACGACTAATTTATGTAACAAAAACTGCTTGATATACATATCTAAATTGAAAACATAGCTAGTTCGAATAAAAAGAATCCATAAACGAATTTTACCAGAAACACTAGGACAGTTGTTGTTAATTTATTAGATTGGATATTCTTCCATATAATGAATGAGATTAGATATCATAATTGTCCTCTTGTTCCTGGTCTTTGCATCAATGAGCTCAATTATGAAAGGTTTTATCTCCTACATGAAAGATTCGTATTGAGAACATGGTGACTGTGATGATTCAAAGTAATTATTCACAAAAGTTTATCTATATGACAGGAGAGAACTTAATCCCATAATTTCAATGAGATTATCTTTTGTAAATAATACCTTTCCTAGACCAAACATCAGTGGGAGACCTCGACCAGGAGAATTACTTATTTTTGTAAGTACAAAAGGCCTTTTTTTTCTCATTTTACTTTCTTGTATTATAAGAACAAAAGTATTAAAAGAATAACTACACAGTATAAACATAACATTCATGTCACAAAATAAATAAAAAAATGAAAAACTATTTGTCACTTCTTCTAATGAAACAAAATACAATGGATAAAGGAGAGAAGTATCAGAAAATGGCTACCTCACTTCCAAATGTAATATATACATCACTGAATTCAAGGCCAGTATGACCACTTCCTATAATTGCTACCCAATCTAGAACAGCATCCAGTTTGAGTGCATGGTCAACTGGTCACTGGTAATCACAGTTTTCCCAGAATGCATTTATTTGGCATGTTTTCATTAATGATTCCGAATAAAACTTACAAGGTGAAATAAATAAATAAAACAAGAAGCACAATATCAGTATAGTAATGAACTAGAATACATGTGGCAAGTGATAAAAATATTTTCTAATAGCTTCCTCACAATTACTAATGATGGAATTAGAAAGGCCAATCCGCCAGCCTAAGTGCACCAGTAGCAAATTGACAGAAGACATCTTGCATGCTCTGGTTTGAGTTTTTCCATGATTTCAAGTAATTGAAAAAAGCATCATACAACATAGGCATCGGATATAACAATCCTAAATTTTCTATGACATAATTGTCCTTCTATGGAGAAAATAGTCTTATATCAACTATTGCAGGATCCTTGCCAGAATATCCAAAGTCAAAGTTTATATGATTAGTTAGTGGTTCAGGCTGTAAAATAATGAATTTATGATTACATTTATCCATGGTAGCATTTCAAATGTTGTTATAAGCAGCAGTAATATGTGCATAACAGAATATCTTTCAAAATTTTCTATGGCAAAGTAAGTAATCTGGGAGTCAATTTGTAAAGATGAGATGTCAAAAAATGAATCGACAAGCACACTTACAAGTGTGCAAGTGATAAATGTTCAGTTTTTGAACCCGAGTAACAAATGTTTGGTTCAAATTCCTAAGGCTCTTCTTGCATCAAACACTTCGTCTGCAACCTTAATTCTCAGCTCAATATATGCTGTGCAATTGGGTCTTCCATCCAAGATGAAACTGCAAGGAAAGAGTTGACTAAATGGGAATTCTCATTGAGGGTCACAGACAAAGGGCAAAAAGATAAATGGAAATTTTGATAGATAAAACTGTTAAAACCCTTGAAGATATTCAAAACTTCATTTACATTCAAAATTTCATTTTTAAGATTACAGGGCCCTTTAGAAGACCCTTTTAAAAAATTGGCGTATGCCGCTTTATACTGACAAACACACGGTATTCTTTAGTAAAAGGCGAAAGAATAGTTCGCTTTGTGTTTATCACACGACTCCGTAATTTATAAATTAGAGCAGCCTTGTCATATTATAGTGTAAACCGTTTACTTATTCATTGTATATTACTCGATGTGGGCTTTGGACATACTTTAATGAAATATATTTCAGTTCTTGTTACTAAAATTCTCAAGCTTATCAATGCAAGCATAGTTCTTTCTTGCCATCAGAAGACTAACACCACACTTCTCCCCTTCACTCACTCCCCCATTGAAGAACTAAATAACACCCCATTACCAATCTTGCACAGTGTTGTCATCATCTCCATTCTTGAAGGAAATTGTTTTTAGATTTTTTATAGATATACACAGGTTTTCAACTTGAGGAATTACAAAATTACTTGTATAATGTGTGGAGAGATGAATGAGATATGATCCACCTCTAAGTAAAGCTAAGGAGTAACCACAAGACAGATCTATTTTTGAATTTTTTTTATAAAAGATAGTTCATTTCAAAATAACAATGATTAAACACCAAAAATTAATCGACTGAAATTTACACTCACGATACACTTTATTAAGAATTAGTTTCTTAGTTCATGTCTTCAAAAGCAAGGTCATTGCTTAATTAGTTTCTTAGTTCATGTCTTCAAAGCAAGGTCATTGCTTAATTTGCTTTATCTAAATTACCCTATGCAAAAACTTGATGAGACTATTATGAAGTACCAATAAATTTATAGAATATCGTGTTGGCATATTCGACACATTTCTAACACTTATCAGACATGTCATGACACTCATCTAACATATCTATATCATGTCATAATTAAATTTTTTTTTTCTTTGGACACTTCTATGATATGTACTTTAACATTTTTTTGACACAACTTGAACACAAATTAAGAAAGTGAATCAATTTTTGCTCTTAAATAAACATTTATCTAATATTTCTATTATAAAAAAATTTGAAAAGTAAACTTATCTATAAATATTACAAAATTCGTAAACATTTTTTTTTATATATGGTGAGACTCTTAAAATATATGTTTCATTTTCTTAGAGTCATTTTTAGTCATTTTTATATATAAAAAAAATGTAAAGGTTATATATTCATGTCCGACTCAATACTGGTACTGGTGTTTCATATATAGATTATAAGTAATAACTCTTGGTGGCACCATCTTCTGAAACATGTCATCAAACACCTCACTTGTTTTTCCCACTCACCAATCTTTGTCATTCACCCCTTGAGCATTATGTCGAAAATAATTAACAGTGTTTGGACAAAACCCTTTTCACACTTCACAGGATTGACTGTAAAAGTATTGTCTTTGTTGAACCGGTCATTATAGAGTATAACGTTGAATAGTGACTCGAATAACTGTAACAAGCGAGTTGAACCCAAGCATCTTGTTGAAGAACTCAATAACTATTTTGATTTTGTAATGTTTGAAAGAGAACAACATCTTTCTGCATTGCAGTTATGTGTCTTTAGCTAAAAGGATGAAATAATGGAATGGGAGATTGAGCCAACTTTTTGGGAAATGGATCATAACATAAATCGACTTCTCAATACGAAACAAATAAACAAAATTAAAATTGGATGGTTAGAACAACCAATACAATTTAAACTGCAGGATTTCAAAAGTTGGTGTCACAGAAAAACTAATATATATAAAATTGTAAAAGAAAAACAAATACTAAATTTTATTATAATTGTAGAGTCTTTGGAAATAGACCCTTTAAAAAAAATTAGGATATGCCGCTTGAAGTAACAAACACACGGTATTCTTTAGTAAAAGGCGAAAGAATAGTTCGCTCTGTGTTTATTACACGGCTCCATGTTTAGCACTTCAAGCCACTCTTCTATTATATGTTGAAAACTCTTTACTTACACATCGAATAGTCGATGTGGGCTTCGGTCATGAAACAAATACACATGCATAATACTTCACCTTCTATTATCTTCTGTGGACGTGGTGCCTCTAACTCAAAATCCTTCTTCCTTTATGTATTTCTATTCATTGTTAATTCTACCATAATTTGACAATCATATTTTCCACATGCATAGTAATTTCATTCTTCATAGATAAAAGGCATTAGTGACAATAGTAAAATTGCTGTTTTCTTCCGGAAACTCTTTTATATAAATTGTTGGGATATAAACAACTCCCACATCTTATAAAATAGAGAAAAAATAATAATTTATAAAACACACACATATTCTAATGTTACAAATGATTTTTGGGTCATAAAATATTATCTTAGATATATATTATAAAATAATTTTATTATAAGAATACCCTTTTCTCTTTTTCTTTATTCTTTTAATGGAATTCCAAAAAAAGAATGTTGTTTTCAATGCATGTAAGACGTGGATGGATATATCATATATTTTGCCCCTCTCGTTATTTTTTTATAGATAAATATATACATGTGGAATTAATATTGGTAAAGAAAGAGACATTAATTCATAATTATGATGATTATAATTTTTTTTGGTAGAGAAAAATTTATAATCATCATAATTATGAATATATATATATATATATATATATATTTTGTGATCATAAAAATAAAAAAAAATTTGTACAAATCAAGTTAACTATATTAATAAATGTATATTTGGTAGAAGTTAAAACTAATATTGGTTATATACAATGGTCTATGACTTGGAAGTATCATTACTAACTTATTATCAAGTACTTATTGTATCATTCTCTTCTCCCCTATCATTATCATCTAGAAAGAAAAAAAAAATACATTATTTCAAAGTTTGGCTGATCATTACGAGACACCTCCCTTTTAATTAAAAAAGTCTAACACCATCATCAAGTGCATGATGTATATTCTACCAATGTCCCACAACTTAGTCTCTCCTTTTTTATGTCTTTATCTTTCATAGACAAAAGTTAAAGCTTGAAATGCACATAAGCCAAATCTTTTACCCATTTGGTTCCATTTTTTGTTTTTCTCCAAAGAATGAATAAAGGAGTATGTACTTCAATCCCTTACACAACATGGAAAAAGAATTGTACAAAAAGCTTAATTAAGAATACTTTTTAGATATGTATTAAGTATCAAATAAGTATCCTGGAAGTATCTAAGAAAAAAAGGTTAAAAAAAAAAATGTACCTACCTGAGGGTACACTCGTAGTCTTCTTAGTGAGAAGGACCGAACGGATGCTTCAAACGGACTCTTCAGAGAGGGAAGGTACCTGCAAAAGGCACTCCGACGCTCAAGTTAGGACAAGCACGATATTCTAGGATAATTAATGAACAGTGACGTACCTCGTTACGTGTGACCTATTTATAATACCTGACATGGGCCTGAACGTGGTGGGCCTATTTTAATCTTTACCAAATTAGGTAATACGATGCTAATCAGCTAACCATGTCTTAATTATGCACTTGTCCTTGTTAACTGTGATTTGTACTATAACATGTTTAACCTATCGGCACGTTGCGAGCCGACAGGCTAATGCTTGGAGGGTTGCATATCTTCGGCTGTTGACCGGGCCGGTTGGCGTTTACTTGGTAATCCTATCGGATCGGCATTGGGACGAGTCGATACATAGTATGCGGGGATACATCATGTTGTTTGCATCGGCCTTCAGCCGAGCCGACATGTGCCAGTTGACTAATCTCGGCCTTCGGCTATAAGCCGAGCCGATGCTAACGTCAGCCTTGGGTATGGTCCAGTTCGCATGGGTGTCTGACAGAACGGCACGTGTTGGTCAACATGACCGATAGGGTCCTCCCGGTACACAAGCCCCCCAGCCTTGAGGAGTATAACGACGCAAAGGGTAAATGTGACACTTCGTTTGTTACCTTTTTGAGGGTAGGCCAAGGGTTACAACTGCTTCAGGGAAACGAAGGGTTGTAACCATTGGTCATTAATGACGCACGCGAGGAGTTATGACTTAATGGAATATGGAGAGACGTAACCATTGTCGGAATACCAAGGGTTATAACCGTTGGGTATTAATGACGTACGCGAAGGGTTACGCATCGTGAACCGTTGGATCTAAGTGATCCAATGGTGTGCAGAGGGGTGTGACTCTTGGTAACTTGCGGAGACTGCCTATAAATAGGCATGTTGGGGGGTCCTCAAACATACGCATTTATTACTTGCTCCGAGCCGAGATCGTTTGAGTTGCTGCATTCGCATATTCTTCACCAAAGATTGGTCAAGTTCAACACTTAGGTACGTAATGGCAGATTTAAATGTTGTTCATATTGACTCCTCCGGGGACGAGGGTGATTCTGGGTTGAGGGAGATGCCGGACCGAGACGTCGTATCGGCCTCGGCTTCCAACGAAGAGGATCATGCAAGGTCCTCACCCGGGTCCGAACGGTCGCAAAGTGGGAGTCACTCTTCATCGGTGATGGCTTCTGACGATCAACCGAGCCGAGGTGGTGGATCGTCCAGGAGTTTTGCTCCTATATCAACTCCTGGATATTCGTGGGTGCACGGGGAGGTTGGCAGCGTGTATTCACGATACACCGATAAGAACTCCCTGATCCGCTTCGTATCGACAGCGAAGTTCTTGACCTTTCCCGAGGAAGAGGAGCCCTCCGCTATCTTTTTTTAGCCGTGTAGAGGTGATGGAGGGCCGAACCCGGATTTCGTATATTTGGACCAAGGGTCGAGCAAATACCAGTTCTTCTATGTGTATGATTACATGTTCCGGGATTTGAAGATCACTCTACCTTTTGATGATTATTTTGTCAGTATATTGCGCCTACTGAACGTGGCGCCGAGCCAGCTTCACCCCAACACTTGGGCGGCGATGCAAGGGTTTAGGCAGTTATGGTTGGCTCTTGGTATCCGGCCCACTCCGCATCTATTCCTACACTTCTATTCGTCTCGGCCAACGAAGAAGATTAAGTGGTTGTCCCTGGTTCGGCACAGTGATTGCCTGCTACAGCCTTTCACCACCTCTTATAAAAATTTTAAAGTAGGGTTTATGAAAGTGATGATTCGGCCAGAGCCAGGGAACAAGTATTTTTTTGATGCCGAAGGGAGATCATTGTTTCCATTGTACTGGACTCGGAAGCCGAGGAAGTACGACACGGTCTCCAAATCCTGAATGTCCCCGGAAGAGAGATTGAGTCTGAATTTTTTGGAGAAGTTGCCTCGGCCTTTACCGTGCCGTCCTCTGGTTCGGTTGTGTGAATCGGCCGACGTAGTTGAAGAATTGATTGGTATAGTACCTTTCTTACTTTTTTTAAATTCTTGCGTTATCATTGATTTTGACTAATGATGTGTAGGTATCATGGCAAATCACGGAGAGGACGATTTGGATATTCGCACACTGATCAAAAATCAAGTGGCGGCAACTACTACGAACAGGGCCCCGACCGGTGTGCGCGAGAATCAGCCGTCTGCCCAAGGTAGTGGAGCGGGTCCAACAGTCAGGCCGAAAAAACCCTCTCGGCCCCAGCCTAAAAAAAGAAGGCCTGACCCCAGGGCCGAGGAAGAGAGCCGCCGGGCCAAGCAGCGCCGAGTGGCGAGTTCACCTGTTCCGGAAAGCTTGGCTGGGCCAAGTTTTCTAGCCGGCAATGTCAACGCTCAGGATTTTCTGAGCCAAGACTTGACCTCTGAATTGGGTCAGGGGGTGCTGAGTCGTATGACCTGGGCTCAAAAATGGAGCTTCTTCTGTGAATTCCAAGTGCGTGCTGTGGCTTTAGCCCAAAGCATCGTGATGGAGCCGAATGGCGAGGCCGATGGATTGCGTCGGCAGCTAGCTGAGCAGGAGAAGTCTCTCCAAGAGACGCTGGTGGCGCTTACTGATGCCCAAACGGCCAACACCAAATACTAGGCCGAGGTGGATCGTCGGGGTCGAACAGCTGATGACCTGTAAAGGAAAAAGAAGAAAAATTGCACAAACATCGAAGTTGATAGACTATGGCCAAGGCCAAGGAATCCAAGAGGTGATATCTTAAAAGAACCAAGAGGAATGGGATGATATTAAATACCTTTCATATGTTTGTGCTTATAGTAGTCTCTTTGTATAGGCTTATTTTTGCCTTTGTATTTGTGAGGCACTTTACTTGCTTTTAACTAGTGATTGTATATTGATTTTAGGGTGGGTTACTTGGATAGTTTAACTCCATTTAACCTCCTTTGTTGATACATTCATTTTATATTTTTTCAGTAGGGAAAAAGGGGTGGCATTTAGCAATGCTTGAGGGTGTGACTAGTAATTGGGCCAGAACTGGGCCTAGGCAAAATTTTGCATATTAGACTCATTTTGCTCCTAATTTTTCATAGATTTGATTTAGCTAGGTCTCATCATCATAAAAAAAATGCAAAAGCAAAGTGATTAAAAAAATAGCTAAACCTAATTGCTCAAAGTAAAAGCCATACAAGGAGATTTGTGTTGAAATTGTTCAAAAGTTCTTCTCGGTTTTACATTGCCTATTGTGTATACATTTTTTTCAGCTTACATATTTTGAGTGTTTTGGTTTTGTTAATCAATTCTAGATCTTATCTAGGTTAATTCCTTCTTGTCCTAGCCAATTCTTTGTTCTTTGTTCATCTATATTGTCTTCTCCTAAACTCTACTCTTGTCTTCTTTCACTCTCAAATCTCTTGGCTATTTATGTTCATTTTGGTACTCAAATGTGACCTAAGTTTTGACCTAGCCTATCTCCTTAGAAGCTAGTTCTACAAGGGTCATCAAAAGAGGACTAAGAAAAGGAGGAGGAAGGGACAAAGAGTGCTCTCGGATTTGGCTACCAAACTTGAAACACCAAACACTTTGTTGGCTGAAATTTTGTGGCTGCTGGACTTTCACATCCGAGGAGATACATTAGAGTTTCAATTGATTTGT